TGACTTGATTTTCTGCCTTCAGGACTTGAATGCTGCATGCTACATGTCATCATTTGTCAAGTGCTGACTCTTAACATTTATAAGTGACATTTAGTCCATAAATACATGTTGGGTCTGGCAACACTACACACAATTGTAGCACTTAGTCACTGGGCTAAAAAAATTGTGAAAAGGTGCATGGATATGTGGTCTTATGGAAAACGAACATGTTGCAGCGTTTTACTTTATTGATCCTGAACGCTGTAGAAACCATATTAAATAAAAAAAATTCAAGGAACTAATAAAGGTTTACAAACTGTGCCCTTATAACCTATTCTGGAGAGCTTCAAAAAGGTTTCACCTATTGTATGGGATAGAAAAAAACCTCTCCCACTCTCACACTTGTAGTACCCCAGGGGAATAACGTACATGTCACCATGCCTGTCACAACCTTGTCGACCCCGGGTACGTCACCCAGCTTGCTTGTTATATGAAAATGTGCTTACAACCTTGTCATCAATGTTAACGCTATTTCATTGTTGCGTTCAAAATTCTCATGCCACTGTTTCCGTATGATTCTGTTAACATGCTAAACCAAGCACACATAAATAAAGAATTTAAACCCCCCCCCCCAAAAAAAAAACCTCTCCTGACTGCCTTTTACCTATATTTGTAGAAATGTCTTTTTTTTTTTTTTTTTTGTACATTTTTTTTTTTTCTTGTGTCTAGAAACAAAACAGGGGCCTCTTCCCTGGAGATCTAATAGCATCATGTCTGTTACCCGAACTTCACCATTTAGGTAAAGAGGACAAGGGGAACTTGTGTTTTAACTAACTCAGAGAAGCAATGAGACCCTATGACCCTTCTGCTAACGTAAGTGTAAGGATACCAGTGCACCTGCTTCAGACCAAAGAGGTCAAAAGACCAGTGTGCCTTCCCCCTCACCAATGAAAATATCTTCACTTCTTAACAGAGATCCATTGTCCTAATTATATATACTTCTCTCTTACTCTCTACTTATCCCGGGCAGCCCCCCTTCTCTTTGTGGTTTGAAACTGAAGGATCTGCCTCACACAGGAGCACACACACTAACCCTTCCATCTTGTGTTTGTAGGGGTACAATTGGGAATTATGTGCCTTCTGCATCTGTAATTAGAGGGAGGGGCAGGAGGTTAGGGCTTAGTTGAAAGTGATGTTTCTTAGATGCTCACAGACAGATGAGAATAGGAATTCTGAAAAATCCGGGGGACTGGAAAGAAAAACGGGAGGGAAAGATACTTGGAGTGTGTCAAGGGGGGAGAGGAGACAGAGGGGGAAAGCCACCCACATTTAAGTGTGAAGAGTGTTTGAATGTCCCTGGTACTCAGTTAACCATACCAGGAGTCTCATTTATCCAGAGGATTTGTAAACTGCTTATTTTGGGAGTCTGCATTTGTTTCTTTGAAATTTTGTTATACGGTGCTATGGATCTTGAGTTGTAATGGAATCCCAGTTACTTGAACTACAGCATCTCATGCAATTTTAGTCTAAACCCTGCCTAGTAGAACTATTTGTTGAAACCTAATTAAAGTTAGTGTTCAGAATTCTACAGTCCTCTATGGATTGATAGCAGCCCATCCCATCCAATGTATTGGAAATGGGGTAATGGACAAAACCTCCCCCCCCCCCCTATTATATTTATGCAGTAAGAACTATATGTACAGAAAAATTAGTTTCAATTCTGTGTTGAGCTTTGTGACGCATGTCAAGCAGTTGTGCTTGGGGTCTCTTTTATCACTTACTATAAATGGAGGTTAGCCACTAAACTTTTATTGTGGATAATTATAAAAGGAACTGCTAATTGTTGCCCATTATAGCCAATGTGGAACTAAATTCCAGCTCAGCTGTTTTTGCCTAAAATTTACAATTCCCTTGTCAATTCTGCACAAACTCTTGGCTTGGTGAAAAATAAGTGTTTTATCACATTCATCAGTGCTGTACAATCTAACACATTTGTAACGAATCTTAATTAGTACTGGTAAAAATCCGATGGCCATAATAAAATCCTCCTTGCTACAAGCAAATATGTTTAACTTATGAATAGCCAAAGAGGATTGAGCACCTTAATGGGTTAATACATTAAACTTCTATTTGTATTTTTAGCATCACTTTGGTTAGACTGTGGCAGTGGACAGTGCCTAGATCACACTGACTTTCTATCTGCTTCAACTGATAGTAGATTCAGCTGTCAGCTAACCGTGGAATATGGGAGGTATCAGGTGCTGAGGGGGGCTCTACTTTCTAAAATTCAGCAAGATGTGAGATGATTTGGCCTCTACTATTTTGTGTGTATTCACTTGAGTAATCACACAGCTTGTTAATAAGCCCAAAGTAAACATGAGTATGTACAGAATGTTTGCACATTAGCTGTGCCTATGATGCTCTAGTATTCTCAAAGCAATAGCACACCAGGGAAGAAGAGGGAAGCCATGACACCAATTGCAAATCAGGACAAATCCACAAAACATATTGGCACCGTTGCCACGAGACACGTTTTGGTGTCTCCCTGGAAAAGGGTGGCAAGTCACTGAGTTGAGCTAAAATGTTATCTCAGTACATACTTGAAATTATAATGTTCTACATCTAACCTGGGAGCATTTAGAGGATAGACCATCATGCTGTCGTCATTAATATGTATTAAAGTGTTCCAACCAAGATTACATTGGTTTAATTGTCTTGTTGGTAGAGCTGTACTTCTCTGCTTTAGAGCACCTGTGCATGAAAACAGTGTTACTCCCCCATGTCCACATTATTATTTAAATTAAATATAATATATTGCAACATTACTGGTTCATGAACTCCAGTTTTAGCCCCTTGGGTGTCACATGATGGAGTAAATCAATGGCATATTATACTTCCACTGAAATACTTAAATTACTGTCTAACCCAGAAGCAGTAAGAAAAGAAATCCATGCTTCCCATTAAATATGATGCTGGTTAGAATAAATGTATCTCTGCCAGGAAGGTATCGGATCTCTGCTTGAATCTATTGCCAGCGTATGTTGTCATCCTGTGTGGCCCACTCTTCTCATGCTTACTTGCCCTTGTAAAAGTGCTATACTCCTACGTCGTGTCCAGACCACACTGCCATTTACAGATGCTCAATGAGCTCACTTCCTTTTCTGACGCAGAATGCAAAGGAAACACAGGGTAATGTAATGCTTACACTGGATAATGTGGTGTACTTAGCAGGTGAGCATGACATGATTGGCTTGTGTCCCTCCTGTTCGTTTGCAATGCTGTGTAGCTCTATCTGTCATCAGTAAGATAAAACTCCCAAGAAGGTCACCATAAAAAGCAAAGTTTATGTCTAAAGATGACAGCAGTACTTTAGACAGGAGACAAAGTTTAATATACACCTTGTACTTGGAAAATTGTTTGCAAATGAGTTGATGAACAGGTATCTTGTTTTAATATCCATTTAATGTTGATGATCAGCTGGTGCACAGTGCAATGTAGAATTGTGCATTTTGCAGGTATATACCAAGACAGTAATTTCAGGTGTTCTTACTAGTATGGCAAACAAAATTATATATATTAATTACTAAGCCAGTCCAGAGGTAATATGCTGCTCTTACACTTAAAGGAAACCATGTCATCCAAATTACAGTGTTGTATTCACTAAACTGTGCATTATGGAGAAGTGACATGCTACTAGAGAACCAGTAAACACATTGGAAAATTTAGATTTTATTAAAGACACGGAGGCTCATATTATGCATAACTCTTTCTTTATTTCCTCAGCAGCAAAGAAAGAGAAATATAAATATTATCAAAACTGAAGAAAAAACTGTATAGGCACAACAGGTAGCCAATCACAGGGTATAGGAAGTAGCTATATAAGTCTTGTGTCTCCCAAAATCCCCCTCTTTCTTTGCTGCTTCCTCAGACAGATAAGTGTTTCTCTGATCTTTGGCTTGCATTGTGATTCCATTTTAATTTGTATTACAGTGTGTTTCATTTTATGATTTTTCATACTGTTTGTTTTACTCTTATTTGTTTTCTTATTGTTTATATTGGTTTTGATGTTTTGATTTTGTTTTTCCCCGGCTGGTGTCTCCCCTCTGGGCCCGCGGGTGTGTCTCTGCCCCGTCCGGGCGGCCCCCACCCCTCCCCTCCTCTCTCCCCTCTCCTACCCGTGTTTCTGCACGGGACCCGACCTGCTGTGCCGCGGCCGCGATTTCCTCGCGACCGCGGCGGTGTACACGCTTCTCTCCTCCTCCCTCACTCCAGTTAGCGTGTCGGCTCGGCGGGCGGGTGCACGAGCCCCTTCCCCCGCCGAGTGTTTTCCTCGTGTGCCTTCCTCGTGCGGCGGCCATTTTGGGGGCGGTCTTTTGTATTCCTCCCAGTGCTGCCGTGCGACCGGCCACCTCGTAGCCCTGCTCCCTGGGGACACCAGCCAAAACGTTTGTTTTTTTCAATTTCCTTGTGGGTTAATCAACCCTTCCCTCTCTCTCCCAGCTAACACCCTGGTGTTATTCAGCCTGCTTTGTTTGTAGTCAGTTTGGTAACTATATAATTGCCATTGCATTATTATTTTACTTTAAATTCTCACTGTCTATTCTGTCACTGTCACTACCATGCAGGATAGGGGTGATGGGCCTGTTGGTCCCCCAGGGGACTTCCAATTAGATAGTACTGATGGTGCCATGGCCTCCCAAGAGTTTCAAGCCATGTTAGAGGCCACTATGGCTTCCTCCATTCAGAAGGCTATTGCCTCAGCCATGGGAGCTGTCTCTTCTAATTTCTCCCAGTCCCTGCACTCTCTGATTTTACCTCCCATGGCCACCCCTGCCCTCTCCCCTGCTCAGACTGTGCCTGGAGCCCGTAAGGCAAAGGCTAAGTCCAAACATGTCGGCTCCCACTCCTCGATGCAGGTTTTACCTGCCATGACTGACACGCCTGAGGCGGTCTCAGATAGCGCGCACCCCACGCGCAAAAGAGCCCCTGGCTGGGCTAAAAAGGCTAGACTATGGAAAAGGGCTAGAGCCCATGATATTGGGTCGGATACCGACCGGAGTGTGGAGGATGAGTCCGACGCTATGGAGTACGACTCCTTTGATCATGATGATTCTGGCGAGGATTTGCCCCTTACGGACGTGAACCCCTCCGGGTCCTCCGCCAATACCCGGGGCCCCTCACTTGCTCCCCCGGGGGGTGACACCTCGATCCTTGACCCGCAGGGCAACCCCCTGTTTGACCCAGACGACCTACGTCATCCTCGGTCCGCCGAGTGGGTTCCCCCAGATCACATCGCCCAATATGTGGCTAAGCGTATCCGCACGCCACTTTCTAGGGAAGGCCGCAATAAATTGCGCGCCGAGTGCCCACGCCCGTCCCTCCCGGGCGCGGCTTGCAAAACCCCGGACATTGACCCGCAAATTGCTCAATTCCTGAATAAGTCAGGATGGAAGCCCAAGAAGGGCCTTGACCACTCTCTTAAAAGCTGCCAGGACAAGATCCTGGATACCCTAGGTCCCCTTTCCAAGCTTTACGAGCTTTTGGATGCTGCCAGGACCGGGGACTCCGTCCTGGACGTGGATGTGGCCGTTGGTTGGGTCCAAAGAGCTATTTGCTTACTGGGGAACGCCAATACGGCCATGTCTACAGAAAGACGCAAGGCGATCCTCCTGAAGATCGACCCTAAATTGGCCGCTATGACTGTGGCGGAGCCTGATCCAACTGAGGAGGGTCTCCTGTTTGGCACGTCCTTCGTTAAGGATATGGGTGCTTATGTCAAGACCTTTACGGCTATTGACAAGGCACAGGCGAACATGAAGCGCGTGTTCGCGCCTAAGGTTTTCGGAGGGGCCGGGCGTAGCAGGAACCGTCCACCCGGCCGTGGTTTCCGAGGCGCATTCCGCGCAACCAGAGGTTCCTTCTTTCCCTCGAGAGGATTTCAGGAACAGAGGGCCCCTCCCTTCTTCCCGGCAAGAGGTCGGGCCTGGGGATCCAGATACCCCCGCGGTGGTACCCCCGCAGACGTCCTTACGGTGAGTACCCTTTCTTCCCCTCACGCTCAAGTTCGGGTGGCGGGGAGACTGGCCTTATTTTGTCAAGAATGGGCAAAGATCACCTCAGATGCTTGGGTTTTACAATGTGTAAGGGGTTTCCGTCTGGAGTTTGTTTCCATGCCTGTCCAGTTTTATTTCCCCAGAGAATTGTCCCTCCCTCAGGAACAAGACGAGATGATTTCCACGGAAGTGGTGGAGATGCTGTCCAAGGGCGCTATAGAGGAGTTGCCGTTCGCCGCCCCAGGCTTTACGAGCAATTTATTCCTAGTGCCCAAGAAAGGAGGCGGAGTTCGCCCTGTCATAAATCTTCGCCCACTCAACGCTTTTCTACGCTACCAACACTTCCAGATGGAAGGTATACACTGCCTCAGAGACCTCCTACGTCAATCGGACTGGTTGGCCAAGCTAGACCTGAAGGACGCATACTTTACGGTCCCCGCCCAGTCCATAGAGTTTCTGGGTTTTCAAGTAGATTCCATCCAGCAGTTCCTGTTCCTCCCGGATGCCAAGGTGAAAGCCATCCAGAAGGAAATTCGGAGGGCCCTCCGTGTTCCAGATTTGTCGGTCAGACAACTGGCGAGAATTATCGGCCTTCTCGCGGCCTCTATTCAAGCAATTTTCCCAGGCCCCCTGCATTACCGAGCACTCCAACGGCTCAAGGGATCACGGCTTCGCTCCGGTCATTCATACGAATCTCGGATAACATTAGACGAGGAGTCCAGGGACGAACTAGCGTGGTGGTTGGCGCACATGGAGGCATGGAACGGAAGAGCCATCTTCGGTTCTGCCCCGGATGTAGTGATAGAGTCCGATGCCAGCTTACACGGCTGGGGCGCTCGTTGTGGCAACGTCTCCACAGGAGGCAGGTGGTCCGACACGGAGAAGTCGTTACACATCAACTGCCTGGAACTTCTGGCAGGTGCCTTCGCGATCCGCAGCCTTGCTCCGGGGAGAGCGAATTGTTGCGTTCTCCTCAAGATGGACAACGTATCAGCAGTTCGTTACATAAATCACCTGGGGGGCACGAAATCCAAAATGTTGGCGCTTCTGGCAAAGGATTTTTGGCAGTTCTGCCTCTACAACAACGTTTCGGTGACGGCGGAACACATCCCAGGTCTGGACAATTCGGGGGCGGATTGGAATTCCAGACACTTACGGGACTCCGGAGACTGGCATCTACATGCTTCAGTGTTCCAGTGCCTGAACAGGTTGTGGGGCCGGTTCCAGTTGGACCTATTCGCGTCACGCCTGAACACTCAGCTACCGAGGTTCTACAGTTGGAGGCCGGACCCGGCTGCAATAGCGACAGATGCCTTCCTCCAGGAATGGCCACCGGGTCTGATGTACGCATTTCCCCCATTCAACATGATCGCACGCACGATCTCGAAACTGGTCCGCCACGATTGTCGGATGGCTTTGATCACCCCTCTATGGAGGTCTCGACCATGGTTCCCTCGGCTGATGGAACTGTCCATAGACTACCCTCGTTTACTTCCGGTATTCCAAGACCTCCTTCTGGATCCGGATGGGAACTCTCACGACCTGGTGTTGCAGCATCAGCTACCCCTCATAGCATGGTTCCTTTCAGGGGACCTTGGGTTATCCCAGACGTTTCGCAGTCAACTCTCCGACTCCTCGATAACGCCTGGGCCCCGGGTACACGGACAGCTTACCGACATTCATGGAGATCATGGTCTGGTTGGTGCATGGAACAGGCAATGGATCCCGTATCTGCACCTCTGCCTTTGATTCTTGAGTTCCTCACGTTCCTATTTGATTCGGGCAAGGCATACCGCACGATCAACCTTTTCCGCTCAGCTATCTCAGCCGGTCACGAAGGTCTAGACGGTTCTCCGGTTGGCAAGCATCCTTTTGTCTGTCGACTTCTCAAGGGTATTCGCCTTGCTCGTCCTCCTCGACCTCGTTTTGCCGCCTTTTGGGACGTTAACGTGATGCTACAGTTCCTATCATCATGGTACCCCAATTTGGAGCTGACTCTCAAGCAATTGTCTGCCAAATTGGTTATGTTACTGTGCCTGATTTCTTGCAGAAGGGTCTCTGACGTTCGGGCCCTGGAATGGGACGCCGTTGCATTCACCCCAGAAGGCGTCACCTTTGACATTTCCAGGAGGACCAAGTCTGCATCTAAGTCACTTACATACCCTAGGTTTTCAGACTGTCCAGCGCTCTGCCCGGTGGATTGCATCAAGGACTATCTGGATGTTACACGTCCCCTTCGCATGACAGACCTGCACGATCTGTTCATATCCTTTAAATCGCCTCACTGGCCGGTTTCGACTCCTACTCTAGCACGTTGGGTGCGCTGGCTGCTATCCTCCGCGGGTATAGACACCTCAGTATTTACGCCCCATTCTGTCAGGGGCGCGATGGCCTCGAAAGCCTCTTCAGTCGGATGTCGCCTAGAGGACATTATGCGAGCGGCGGATTGGTCTCGGGAATCGACCTTCCGAACCTTCTACTTCAGGCCAATTGAGCACATCGCATCTCGTGTGGTGGCACAGCTTTGAACTTGCATAATATGAGCCTCTGTGTCTTTAATAAAATTCCCAGATTTTACTAGTAACATGACGTAAAGTCATGATTTTATTAAAGACACGGAGGCGAGTATTATTCCCTCCCACCCTCCCGGTGTGGAGTTGGGGTACGAGATGCTTGGTGGCTCTACAGGTAGGTTTTTTTTCAGTTCGATCTGTATCCTATCAGTTGATTTGCATCTTTTGTACGGGTTGTTGTACCTTTATGCTGTGTACTAATTCTGTTGTTTTTATATTTCAGTACTCTGTTTTACCTGTGTCTCCCCAAGACTATGTTTGGTAAGTTTGCAGTTCTGAATTAAGAAATTACCATATTTCTCTATCTTTTTTAGCTTGAAATTGTCGCATCGTTTTCCCGTAACCCTGTTTCGGCCAAGTGGGACATCGTTCATCTTACCTGGTCTTCGGTTCGCAAGAAAGAGGGGGATTGTGGGAGACACAAGACTTATATAGCTACTTCCTATACCCTGTGATTGGCTACCTGTTGTGCCTATACAGTTTTTTTCTTCAGTTTTGATAATATTTATATTTCTCTTTCTTTGCTGCTGAGGAAATAAAGAAAGAGTTATGCATAATACTCGCCTCCGTGTCTTTAATAAAATCATGACTTTACGTCATGTTACTAGTAAAATCTGGGAATTTTCTGAATGAATTCTGCATCCTGGCTATTTTTCCAACTTGGGTCTTGTTTACAATCTGTTGCTGCTACTTTTTAGAGACTAGATGCTTCTCATTGTCAGGCTCCCGCGGGCGGCTGCGAGGGGAGGCTTGCAGTACTCACCCTCCAGCCGTCCGCGGTCC